AATATTATGCGATTTTCGTGTTGTGGTTTTCAATATGTAATATTGAGCCACATTATTTTGAAAGAATGTATTCTGAAATAGTAGATTGATGGAGAATTTGTGGTTGAAAAAGAAGGAAAAGTTATTGATGTGATGAAAAATATTATTTTATTGAAGAATGTGTGGTTGAAAATGAGTAGTAGAATGAAAATGAAAATTTTAATACTTACCAAACAGAGGCTTACGGATTAGCAACAAAAGAGAAAAGCGAGATAGACTATCTGAACATTGTGATAATACCATTTTTGTTATGGAGGGCACTACTCAACCAAATATGGATCTCATTTTCTCGTCATAGAACGGCCAAAGGCAACAACAGAATTGTCGATAAGAGCAATGAATTTGAACAAGTTGATAGAGAAACCAATTGGGATGATCAAATTCTATTGAATGGACTTCTCTTCTACATTAATACAACACTGGATAGAGCTTCTAAGCTGCCAATTTGGAGGACCGAAGGTATAATCATGACAATATTGTTTCATGCCGGGCTGGTGGAGTATTTGTATTACTGGCTGCACAGAGCATTGCACCACCATTATCTCTACTCTCGATACCATTCACAACACCACTCCTCCATTGTCACAGAGCCCATTTCATGTAAGAAAGATACTATCTTCTTCCGATCTTTATTATTAACCATCTGGTCTAAAATGGGTTTCTGCAACTTTAACTAAAGAACACTCAAACCCTTTTGATATGACTCTTGGAAAGTCAAAATGAGCTTTTGAACATATTTGATTAATTTTATAAAAATATTTTTTTAGTTAGAAATTTTTTTAGAGAAAATTGGTTTAATGTGATTTCCTCTTATAACACTTTTGGAAGAGGAGGCTCTTTTACAAAAAAGTAAAAGCAAAAACAAAAATCTTATCAAACGAACTCTAAGTGAATTACACAAAACAAGGCTGGACGAAGACCCATCTCTCAATGTGGACCAACCAAAGTCATTTTTTGTTATTAGCTTATAATTTGGATATATAAAAACAAATTAAAAAAAGACTGATATGTCCTTCCATGTTTGTCAAAGCTTATAATTGATAATAATTTAGTCAAATTTATTATTATTTACACATTTCGTAAACTCACATCTTTTTACTTACTTTTTAATCACACATCTCCTGAGAGCCATTACTTATGATCAATTATAAACTTTGACAAACATGAACTTAATGTAGCCTATATTTACACATCTAGTTGGAGCGAACCATTTCTTTTCGTAATAAGTTCAGGCTAAATTATTCTAATTTTTGTACTTGGGAGAATAAAATTGTTTAAAAATGACAATATTGTGACCTACATGCTGGTAAGGAAGATACCAAATGCAAATTAAAACTTTTTGCCACGAGTTTTCAATCTAAATTTATGGAAAAAATTGCAGCCAAAGCCCTTAATCTTTTATGATGTTATTAATTAAGTTTGTTATTCATTTGCGGAGCATATAGCATATTTTCTGCTATTCGCAATTCCAATGCTTACTACTGTGCTGATTGATACTGCCTCTATGGCATCCATCTTTGGTTACATTACCTACATTGATCTCATGAACAATATGGGACACTGCAACTTTGAGCTCATTCCTTAAAGGCTTTTCTCCATTTTTCCTCCTCTCAAATACCTCATGTATACGCCCTCGTAAGTTTTTTATAGTTTCGATATTATTGTTCCGTCTCGTTCAATCTGTGTTCATTACTAGAGTAACTTGTTAAAAACCCAGTTGCCACCCAGTTTTTTGAGAAATTTCATGTTGGTCGATGAAAATATTTTGTTCCAAGTTAGTCACTTATGTTTTCACTTTATTTCAAGTTGATCATTTTCAAATAACTAAATGTCATATTACATCTTATGTTAAGCAAACTAACAGATATACCCCTGTTTGTCTACCATTTTTCAAAACATTATTTTCTACAGTAATCAATCTCTACCACACATTCAATTAATAAAATATTATACACATAAACCAATAAAGTTTCTTTCAATTTTAACCACGCATTCTCCAAAAAATACTATTCAAAACATCATTCTTTCTCCCATAATGGGAGACAAAACAATATTATAGCATAGACACAATGAAACTTTTTGCTAAAAATCTAGTAACCACGAGCGTATTTAAATCGTAGAACTGAAAATTTTGAATGTCCATGAGTTTGAAATTGTTATTTGACAATTACATAAAAAATAAAAAATAAAAAAATTGATGCTTTGATTTTCATTCTTTGCATCATACGCAATTACTCATTGTTCATGCCAATCTCTGACTACATTTATGGTACAATGGACAAGTCTACTGATGATTTGTATGAGACTTCACTAAGAAGGAAGGAAGATTTTCCTGACGTGGTACATTTAAAATATAACGACACCACAGTCCATTTTTCACCTCCGAATTGGATTTGCTTCTTTTGCCTATAAACCTCACAACTCCAAATGGTACATGTGGTTGATATGGCCAATAACATGGTGGTCTGTTGCGCTAAATCTTATATGTGGATGCTCGTTTATCGTAGAGAGAAATTCCTTGGAGAAACTCATATTACAGTTGTGGGCAATCCCAAGATACAATGTGTAGGCAAGAATTTCCATCTGATTACAACGTTGTATTTTAGTGGTAATTTGAAAGAGAATACGGTTATATGACTTGTAAATTACATGGTTTTATAGTATCTTGTTAAATGGCAAAAACAAGCTATTAATGGATTGATTGAAGAAGCAATACTTGAAGCAGAAGCACGAGGCGCCAAGGTGTTAAGTCTAGGTCTTCTCAGCCAGGCAAGTTATTGCAGTGCTTGATCATCTTCACTTTCCTCATGTTAGAATTTTATAAAACTCTAAATCTTAAGACCTTGAAAATCTAATTATTTTATTACCTAGATCCTCGAGTCAAATCATCAAGGGAATTATTTAGTGTGGACTCATTGAGAATGATTCTTTATTACTGGATCTTAATTCCGAATTTTGAATCTTGAAGATCAACTATAATCCCTTCATGTTTGGTTTCTTAATCTTTAATCTTGAATATCGTCTTTTTTGGATCTTGAATTCTTGTTTTTGACTTTAGCTTCTTGCTCCGTAATCTTGATTATCTCAATTCTTTTTTCTTGATTGTTGATTTCAAGTTCTTGATTGTGAGTTTTGGATCTTCCTCTTCAATACGTTTTCTCATATATTTTTGTGTTGATGGGATAACACATAGAATAAGAATCAAATATGAATTGAGGACCATAACCCTATTTATACTTTTCATATGTATTTGGTCAAATACAACCCTAATGGATCCAACCTCTACACATATTTAATGCACACTTTATTTAAATGCCCAAAATCCAATAACTTAAATTTCTTATTAGATTACTTTAAACAGACTTAAATTTAAGATAGCATTTATAAATAATTAATTACCTATGCAGACCACCCACATGATAAATTAATATTTTCTCAACACCTCAATCACGAGAAGCTTGCACCAATCAAAATTCTTTTGTTTTGCTCTTTTCGAGTACTTTTGCGATGAAGAGAGAAGCTTCGTTTTGCTAGAAAATTCACAAACTTTTTGTAAGTCCTAATATTTGCAGGCTAAAGAACTTAACAGAAACGGAGCAATTTACATTGAAAAGCACCATCACCAAAATATTAAGGTGGTAGATGGAAGTAGTTTGGTTGTAGCTATCGCCCTTAATAGCATTCCAAAAGGAACAACAGAAGTGGTCCTCAGAGGAAAGCTGTCCAAGGTTGCTTACTCCATTGTAGTTGCTTTGTGCCAAAAGGGTATCCAGGTATATATGTTACAAAAAGCAATTTACTTTTATCCAAATATTGAAGTTGAATTCAAGAAGTCCACTGATACCTGTGTTTGATACGTGAATTCAGCAAGATTACATTGGAGAAATGAAATTTTTTATTACACGACGCTTTTCTTTAATCATGTCCAATCCCATCCAGTTCAACTTACCGAAAATGACTTGACCGTTGTTTTCTTCTCTCTCTCATAATCTCAAATAAGTAATGTTAGATATTTTTCATCATTTTGCATGTGTCATCTTTTGTTTTGCGAATGTTTTGCCTCCCCGACTAATGTTTGCCGCTACGCAACGGGGATCGACCTGAAAGAGAATTTTATTTTTCAGAAGTCTTTGAATAGGTATGTTTCTTCCAACAGATGTCTTCATTTATTTCAAGGGACACACCTATTCAAAAGGTTGCCTCCATTTCTATATATTTTGGGCGAATTCTCATTTGCAAAACACATTTTAAAAATTCGTTATTTTCTATTTTTCTCTCTTTTCTCTTGGCATTATCAGTTTCGTTATAGAGTGTTTTCTTGGTTTGATCAAATAGTCACAGTTTGAATCAAACGCCTCCATTGTATCCTGAGAGAGATTTTCTGTCATACCCCGATCGTGACTTTGTTGGATAGAGGAGAAACATCTATTAAAAGATAACGATTTTCTTGCCTTGGAGTTCATTAGTTCTTTCCAGATTTTNCTCCATTGTATCCTGAGAGAGATTTTCTATCATTCCCCAGTCTTGACTTTGTTGGATAGAGGAGAAACATCTCTTAAAAGATAACGATTTTCTTGCCTTGGAGTTCATTAGTTCTTTCCAGATTTTCTTACATATTTCCCAACAAGTAATAGTTTATGGCAGGTGAGTACATTGTATGAAAATGAGTATGAAGAGCTTAAACTAGCTGCAAAGTCTCAGAGTAGAGTGGTACTCTCAAAAAGCTATACTCAGAAGGTAAAGATTTCTTCCTCAATTTATGCTTTGTTTAATTTATGTACCTGTTAAATGTGATGATTGATGATGTTAGATATGGCTAGTTGGCGATGAACTGACAGAAGAAGAACAAATGAGGGCACCAAAAGGAGCATTATTCATCCCTCTCGAAGTTTCCCCCAAAGAAAGCGCGTAATGACACCTTCTACCAGTATACTCCAGCTATGGTGGCTCCACCATCGCTTGAGAATTTGCATTCTTGTGAGGTCAGCCACTTTAATGCTCCATCTCTATCATTTCTTGAACTATCATCTATTGCAAGCAAAATTTGCTCAAACCCCCCCTTATAAACTTAAGATGATTTTTGTGCAACTGCTTATTTTTCCACCATTGATGCCCTGTTTGACTTATAAACCTGATTTGATTCATGTGGAACACTTTATATACAGAACTGGTTGCCAAGAAAAGTTATGAGTGCTTGGCGTGTAGCTGGGATTGTACATGCCTTAGAAGGATGGAACGTGAACGAGTGCAGGGAAACCTTGTTCGACATCCACAAAATTTGGCAAGTCAGCCTTAAACATGGGTTTCGACCTTTAACGTTTTTGACATAATTAAACATATATCTTAATATCTACCCAAATAGTTACATGTTACGTGAGAAGCAAATGGGGAAAAAGAGGAGCAGAACCAGCAAACCAAAAAGAAAAGAGGAAGAAGAAGGCAACATAATTACCTGACTTTGGAATTCAAAACGGTGTTGTTCAAACTTAAGCAAAATGGTGTCGTTTTAAATTAATAAATTGTAATAGTTAAAAAATCGTTTTTTGCATTTTTTCTTGTGTCAAAGCACGACTTGCACTGGCGTATATTAACCTCCATTTGCAAAGGAAGAAGGGTCTGTGATTTTATATGTAATCTGATATTTTCAGTGAATTTGTTGAAATCGTTCAACAGCTTTCCTCATCTCCTCCTCCTTAATTTTCTCATTTATCCCTTTCCCATTCTATTTTCTGTTTTATTGGTTACTAATTCAGTTGATTTTGGTTGGAAGTCTCCATTTTCTGAGCTGCGGTTACGGTGAGGATCCAAGCTGAAGTTCCGACCGTGACATTACACTCTACAAAGTATATATTGATCACCTTGTTTCAAATAGTTTGTGCTACATTTCATATTTCCTATGTCCTTAGACCTACAATTGTTAAATACAGCAATTCAAAACTTTGTCTTCTACACGCTCCTTCAATCGAGTTTATTTTTAATCAATGCCAACAAGATCAATATAATTAACTCATAGAGGATAAGTGGATAATATATATTTTTATTTCAACTGTTACCTAAAAAAAAATATACAATACGAGAGATCGAAAACATTAAAAAATAAGTAAAAATCAATGAATAATACTATGATATAATTACCTAAGAATCACACAACATTGTTGCGAGCTCATCATTAAGAGGATTACATATTTTTCTGAGTAAATCCTCAAGAAATGGAAGAATCTGAGAAACAAAACTCCATTGATTCTCATGGTGAGAAGAAAGCTGAGAAACTTGAGTTCTGCACAATGGGCATGTAGAATGGCCCTTAAACCATGCATCTATGCACTCAACGTGGAAGCCGTGGTTGCATTCCGGCAGTTTCCGGCACATCTCGCTGCCGTGAATGTCGTTAAGGCATATAGCACAGTATGAATAACCCTCTTTCTTGCTGTCATTCACGTCCAAAATGGCGGCCGAAAGGCGATTTCGAGGACGAAATCTTTTCGAATATAGACACCAAATGAAGAGGATGATAATAAAGAAAATTGGACTCAAACTCAAACTGCTTGCAAAAATCCCTATTTTTTCCATGAAAAATAATTGGATCTTTCTGCAGGTTTCTTATTATTGAAATGGTGATATTTTCATGTGTGTATATATATATATACATACTGTGTGTGTATGCGTGTTTGCATAATGTGAAAAAGATAAGAGTAAACATGGAAAAGCAGGTCCTACACGTTGTGAATTCATTGTTTTTGAATGACTTCTTGGAATGGAATGCTTATTATTTAACAATAATTTAAAGTTGAGGTCCCATTTCTTTGAATTTGTCTGAACTACCACTGCTAAATATCTATTTGTTTAATAAAGAAGAATGGTTGTCTTAAAGGTACGTTTGGCACAAGTTCTAATAATTAAATATTTCAATATTGATGAATTTTCCTACCATTTTTAAAGTAGTGAACAAATATTCAAGTCTTTTCTTAAACAAATTTATCGAACTAGAATTAAAAAAAAATAAGACGGTTGTGATCCAACCTTGAGTTCTACCTATAAAATTGAAGGGAAAATTTCATACTTAAGAGGTTAACTATTATTATCATCATCATTAATATTAATAGTTGAATTATTATCTGATTTATAAATAAGTAAATCTTGCACCTGATTTTTGAATTGGATTAAACTATTCTATCAGCCCTGTAAAAGGCCTTGTAGAGTGGTTGCCTCACACCCGCCTCATTAAACCCCACCCCCCCACCCCAAATGTTTTATCACCCCCAGCCCCCCATGACTCGTTGGCTCTACCAGATCTTGTACCGATCTGGTAGAGTCGCACGGTCCTTTTGAATTACAAACTTTAAAAATTTTCCCTAGTGTAATTTCCACATAATTGAATTTTAATTAGGCCCATGTTTGTTGTAGCTAAAATATGTTGTTTAAAAATTAATTTATTTATATCAAACCAAAAGTGAACATTAAATTTCGTTTTCCATTTAAGTTATGACCTCATAACAAATACAATCTTGACATATGATGAAGCTGATTAGACAAATTTGGAGTTACCTCAATGGAAATATATATTTGTATTAGAAGTCAACAAATCTCTATCTTAGACTCTAATGTAAGGTCAAGTTGCGGAGTTTACACGCTTTCACCTGTAATTTGAGAAGCTACTTATTGACGGAAGAGCGGTAATCTAAAGAAAACTAGACCCTTGTCTGGTGGCTATAAGTTATTAATTCTTCAAATATAATTAAATAAGAAAAACGTAGTAATTTAACGTAGCCATATTGCTTGGCACCAATACCCGTTGGTGCAACGCTTGAGTTAAGCGTGTTTTTAAAAATCCTTCGATGTAGCTACGCTTGAGCTCCTACGGAAAGGGGGCTCTTCAATGCACTTAGAAATGACAACAAGACAAGAATTCCTCGATTTCCCAATTCCTTGGGAAATGTGAAGAAGCTAAAATCTCTGTCATTGGGGTTGGGCAAAAATCAATTCAAACCGTCAAACCGATCAACTCAACCCAAACCAATCGATTTGGATTGGTTTTTTAGTTCAATTGGATTGAGTTCGAGTTATGAAATCAAATTTTAGGTCGGGTTGGGTTCTAGGTTATCTATTAAAACCTAACTCAACCCAACCCAACTCAACATACCTAATAAATTAAAAAATATTAAAAAGAAAATTAGTACTTAAAACCAAAAATCTAATAATCAAAATTCTCATCTGCCTCATGTCTCTTCTGCTTCTCATTGCTGCTCGTGCATCGACTTCTTGACTTGATTTTTTGACGTGATTTTTGACAAACATTTGATTGAATGAGAAGATTTTGTATTGAGTTTGGATGATTTAATATTTTTAGTATTTATGTTGAATTCCTTTTAGGGAAAATTGCAGTCGCGATACCAAACATTTCACTCTTTTGCAGACTTTGCTCAAACCTTTGATTTGTACCACCGTAGGTACCAAACCTTTAAAAAAATCGCAGCCCAAGTCCAGATTGACAGTTTCCATAAGTTTGACCCAAAAAAACCGTCAGTTGACCTCAAAAATTAAAATTTTAATAATTTTGACCAAATAAGACGAGGGTGAAATGGTCATAATACATTCCCTATTATTTCAAAAATTTAAAAAACAAAAGACAAAATCACAACCCCCACCCCACATTTCCAAAACAA